AGTGGGCAATTCTGGAAACAGGTGCATTCTAATTGCGCCTCAAAGCAACTCCTTTTTTAAATGGAATCTAGCCCACCTTCTAGACTGACCGCCCAGTCCAGTGGGATGGGACACAATTATTGTAGACTACACTACACATCTAACCGCATCAAATCGCAGAGGAGAAAGTGGTGTGAAGATGGGGAAGCAACCGGGTAACAAACTAAATCAGACTAGTGAATTGAGTCTTAAACACTTCTCAAGGTACCCAGGAGTTAAGCTCAAGTTCTAGATGAGCAAAGCTAACTACCAGATGTGAAAAGAGCAGCCAAATCCGAGAACAAAAGCAGAGCCAAGGCGGTGGAGACATGAACACGTTTACATTCCAGTAGCTCGTCGGTGGGCACGCTGGAATTAATCTCTCCTTCCGGTAGCAATTCCTTTTGCTCAAAACCCATGATCACCAAACTAAAGAACCGACGAGCGCTAGCAGCAGGTGGAAGGTGGAGCCTAGGCCTCTGGTTTCACAGCCAAAGTCTGGGAGCCCCAAGCGATCGCAGCACGGTGCACCCCGCACTCTCCCTTCCTGAACCCGAGCTCACTAGCAACTCGGCCCGGAGCCCGGGCTCTAGCGCGCCCGCCGAGAGAGCATTGTGGGAGACGCGGGCCCAGTCGGCCACGTGCGACCGCCGGGCGGATGCGGAGGGCGCCGAGGCCCCCCAAACCCGCTCCGTCTGCGGATCCCACCCCCGGTCGGTCCTCACGCCCCTCGTCTGTGCAGGAAGGTGGTTCCAGCGGCCCTGGGAGGACGCGGGGACCCTCACGGGGGACTCACCGAGAACAACGCCGTATGGAGCCCTCCCTGGGTAGCGCGGAAAGGCCTGACGGGCGGAAGTGACGTATTTATATACCCTGCCGCCAGCCAATGACAGCAAACGCCGGGCGGAAGAGAGGCGGGTCCGGGTCTTCTCCTTCCGGGAGGCGGGCTGACGGCGCGGCGCGGGCTCTCGGAGCCGCGGAAGGGGGCGCCGTGGTGCTGGGGGTGCGGAGCGCGACTTAGGGTCCCCCCCCCCACCCCTCCTCCAGCGAACCGGAAGCCAGCCCGCCGGCCAGGACAGGAGCCTGTTGTCCTGACCTGCGACCACAGCGGGTCCCTCACCTAAGCCGCAGTGCCCCTACGTGGGAAGGAGTGTGGGACCCACAAGTACGAGTGTTGGATGAACAAAAGCTGCAGAAACTATTGGCACTTTTTTGGAGGACATTTTAGAAGTGTGTAATTCAGATTCTGAAAGTTCACTTATGGGAAAATTTCCAGAAAAAAATAAAAAGAACAAGACTGCACAGATGCATGAGAATTTTTTTTTTTTTTTTGGGGGGGGGAGGTGGAGAAGGTAAAAAAAATGCAATATTCACCAATCGGTTGGTTACTAAAAATTTACTCCAATACAATACTATAAAACCATTTAAAAAATAATTAAAATTCTATGGTGCAAAAGAGAATTAGAGGGTGAGGGTGATTCTTAAAAAACTGGAGCGCATTAAAAGGTTACTTTAAATGGCCAAATGGTTAATAGTTACGTATACAGTAGGTTTCAACCCTGGCTGCACTTCGAATCAATTGCAAGCTTTTCAACATGCTCAACCCAAACCAAGAAAATCTGATTTATAAAAACAGCTCCTGAGATCATCTTAATGTGCAGCCAAGGTGAGAACTACAAGTGTAGAAGTACAGAAAGTGGGTGGGGTTTCCCCCTCATTTTTCAGTATTTTTTAAATTTTCTGAGGAACATAGGATGTTCGTATATTGAAAACAAAACTCCACTGCTTCCAAACTAAGCTGGCGTAGAAAAGGAGTAAACATGGAGGCTTGGCTTTCAGCATCCTTAGATAATAAGTTTCTGGAGATGTTCTGGCTCTCACAAAAGGTAAGACTTAGGAATAGCTTTATGAGAATTGAATGCTGGTGGTGAAGGACTCGAGAGAACCTTCCAGATACTCCCAAACCATCTCATCAGCTTCCTCCTCTGTCCACTAAGGTCTGAAGAACACCTTCCATCATTGTAACTACCAGGACATGGCACTGTAATTACGTTCACGTGTTTGTTTCTCCACAAGACACTAATATTTCCCCCACAAAACTAACTTTGTCCTTGACACTAATCTTCAGGGTGAAAACTCTTGGGGAGGAAATGATAAGAGTCCTGAGATGAAAAACGCACAGAGGGGATGGGAAGTCCCGGTGAGCAGCCCTGGCCTAAAAAGCACTTGTCAAATGGCCGTGGCTCCATTGCGCAGGCCCCAGGTCCTCCGCACAACCATCTCCATCATTATTTTATTCACACCCATTTCTGATGAACAAACATCTCAGCGCCTTCCTTTTCCAAACTTTGGTTTCTGGGCCTTCTATTTAAAAACTAAATAATTTTTCCCCCATATATAAAATTGTGCTGGAGACCGTAATATTTTGGACTACACTTCCCACAGCATTGGGGAGCGAAGAGATTTGAAGCTGGGAGAATATGGGGCATCTAACTGGCCCCAGGCATCAAATTCATCTTCCCACCTCCCTTTCTAACCCAGACTTCCTCGCTGCTCCTCTACACCTGTTTGCCTGATACCTAGGTGTCCGGTAGTCCTTTACCTGTGGTGCCTGAGCCATGTCCCAGAATTCCTTTTCCCTGCTTTGTTCCAAAGCTCTCATTCTGTTACATGGTATGGTCCCTTCTGTCCACCGCAAGCATCCATCTGTGTAACTTTTCCCAATCACTTTGCACTCTGCGTCTTAGGTTAAGTTCATGCTTTGGAACCCCAGCTGTACCACCTTCTAACGGTGACTCTGAACAAGTCACGGAACCTCTCCCAGGAAGTAAGAGCTGGTGATAATTCAGGTGCCGCCAGCCCGTCTAGAAGCGGCCCCTGTGCCCGGAAGTCCTACAGACGCAAGTGAACATATGAACCAAGGAGACATTTTAATGTTCTAGACAAAAATCAAAGCTACAGATCAAATGGAACTCCAAGGTTCCAAGATTCAATCACATGTATGGATGCTTAAGAAATAGCACTAACCAAAAAGGACTCAATTATCCCTGAAATGGAGATAGGCCTGGAAATCCTGGGTTGCTTCTGTCGATCTTCACATCGTCCTCGCCAACCGCCTGCGTTCGCCTGCAGGCCCAACTGTCTGATGCGAATGCCATCTCGAGACTCTGGGTGTAGGAACAGTCACCTCTGCGGGACGTTCATGAGCAAGTTCCCTGAGAAGTCAAAGTTCCCTGAGGTCCAGCGGGACGAGTTCTGAGTCGGCTGAGCCACACCTCCTTTTCTACAGATGGGGAAACCGAGGTCCGGACACGGTCCACGTTACACAGGAAGTTAGAGCACCATCACAATGGAAACCCATGCTCAGTTACTGTGAAGACACTCGTCTGCATTCAGATTTTCCTTTTAGCGGGCTGGGACCCAAGTGGCACCCTGAAGAATGTATTTTGGAGGGAGCACACAGAACAGGGGGCGTCTCGGGTGGAAAGGAGAGTGAACTGTGACAAAGTATCTGAGAGTGTTCAGTGAGGGGATGACTGAGGGAACAGCACATCATCCGGAATAGCCAAGACCAGGACAAACGGGGAGTACTCGGGTAGTGTCGGCAGGGCCTGGCTGAGGACTTGGGATGTGCTCCTAAGGAAATCTGATGTACGTTCTGGAGGCAGCGAGGAGGCAAAGGATTAACAGAAAGCGCGTGGGGAGATTTAGGGGAAACAGCTTAACTTCCGACTGACGAAAAGTGGCCATGGAGCCTGGCTCAATGGTTCAGCATCGACCTAGGAACCAGAAGGTCAGGTTCGATTCCAGGTCAGGGCACATGGCCGGGTTGTGGGCTCAACCCCCAGTGGGGGACATGCAGGAGGGAGCCGATCAATGATTCTCTCTCATCATTGATGTTTCTATAATATTTCTCTCTTCCTCTCCCTTCCTCTCTGAACTCAATAAAAAACATATATTTCTAAAAAGTGGCTATGGGTGGGGATGACTAGCATGTGGCTAGACAGGCATGGAGGTAATGAGGCGAGGTCTGAGGAATGGATAAAATAATGGAAAGATGGATCAGTCCTTTGCTAAACATTTCTCACGGGGCTTCTCTCTGTCTTAAGGCACAGACGGAAGCTGCAATACAGTTACGAGTAAGTCACGTGGCCTCTGCCTCTTGGAGCTTACAACTGAAGAGAGAGAGAGAGAGACTAGCAGCCACGACACCGTCTGTGAGTACAGTAGTGTTAAATGCTACAGAAGAAAAGCAGAGGGTTTCCGAGTACTGAAGAGCTGACCTAGCGTGAGGGGCTGCTAGTTCTCGCTCCCTTTTTGTCATCCGAGGCAAGGATGCTTGAACTAAACTTGGAAGGACAGAAGGGACTTACTTATGGGCGGAATAGAGTGTGCCAGGCAGAAAGCAGCAGTTCATTCAAAGGTGCTGAGGCAACAAGGAGGAGGCTGGAGAGTGGGGGGGGGGGGGGGGTGAAAACATGAAGGCATCAAAGACACAGAGGACAAGTAGAAATACCCAAGGTCAGACTCGGAGATGGCTTAGGAAGTCAACAAGGAGGTCAGCCTGGCTGCAGACAATATGGGGAAACAGGTGAGCCAGGGGAAGTCCACATAAAGGCAGCTCCGGATTACTAAGCCAAGAAGATGAGGCTTAACACCGGCACCAAACATACAGTGGAGAGGCTGGGGGTGATCAGCAAGAGAAGGACATGATAAAACAGCGCACACACGGGGGCTGGACTTCCATGTCTTCATCACAGTTCAGGAAATAAAAAATTCAGTAAAAAAAAGTCTATTTACAAACTCCAAATACGTGTAGTTAAATCTTAGAAAATAACATACGGATACAAAACAAATTAGAGAAATACAACCAGTGACAAAAATAATACAAAATGAGACTCATTTGTCCTATGCTACAAAGCCTCACAGTTCTTTACAAAGTCTCTTATAAAGAAGTACTTATTTTTTAAACCATCCCGATGTCAAAAGTACACGAATCTAGTTAGAGTTGATTCCATGACAAGCGATACTTTTATTGGTTCATCTCGCAGAAAAAACTCCGTGTGCACCACCTTGTTATTCACCTGCAAGAGAAAAGCACAAACTGTTCACGAGCCTGCAGAGCCCCGAGCAGAGGGTCTCTCAGGAAACCCCCCAGGAGAAGGTGGCAGAATGCTGACCCCTAGGAACGCAATGCAGACATCACTATAGGGAGATGTCCCACCAAGTGCTCGGTCCTGTGAGATAGAAAGAACATTAGACTGGCCAAAACTGGTTTGGATCAGTGGATAGACCATCGGCCTGCGGACTGAAGGGTCCCAGGTTCGATTCCGGTCAAGGGCATGTACCTTGGTTGCGGGCACATCCCCAGTAGGGGGTGCGCAGGAGGCAGCTGATCGATGATGCTTCTCTCTCATCGATGTTTCTAACTCTCTATCCCTCTCTCTTCCTCTCTGTAAAAAATCAATAAAGTATATTTAAAAAAAGAAAAAGAGCTGACCTAGCCTGAGGGGCTGAGGAAAACACCCCTGTACAAGTGAGCAACACCAGCCAGTATGAGTTTCTTCTTAATCTGGTATTTTTATAGGAAAAGAGAGTTAATTAGGAAAGGTTGTAAATGAGCACAGTAACAGCAACACTAACACTGATTACAAGACTAAGGTCAATCTTGTCATTAGAACCTTCTCATCGAGTGCATTCGCTTTAGAGTGAATGAAGCGCAAAGACCCTGGAATGTACTTACTTTGGTGAAAAAGTCAGCGATGTGCCACTTATTCCCATACTTTTCGAAGATTTCAGTCATTGCCTTAATCATCACAGAGCCAGTGTGGGGGTGCCGTAAAGCAACGTGATCTACAAATTAAAACATAAACATTCGTGCATTTTCCTCTTCCACTTGTGCGAATTGTTCTTGTGCCCAGTTAAAGCCTAGGAAATGGCTTTGAACTGAGAGGACGGAAACACTCTTGCATTAGCAGAAGTGTGCCAGGGGCCATAACAGACATGGGCCATTACAGCTGGCCCATGTGACAAACGGCACAAAACTCTCAATAGGGCATTCTTTCAGTAAAGGTTTTCAAATATACACAAAGGTAGAAAGCAAAGTTTAACACTTCCCCATAGAATCATCCCTCAGGTTCAATGGTTTCCATCATTTTGCCATTTGCTTCATTTTATCCCTCTTCTATTTTTTTTAAAATATGTTTTTATTGATTTCAGTGAGGAAAGGAGAGGGAGAAAGAGAGAAATATCAATGATGAGAGAATCATTGATGGGCTGTCTCCTGCATGCCACCTCCTGGGGATCAAGCTCAAAACCCAGGCATGTGCCCTGACAGGGAATTGAACCCTGACCTCCTAGTTCATAGGTTGATGCTCAACCACTGAGCCACACTGGTTGGACTGGAGCACATTTCTTTTTAACGCCGAGTAGTATTCGAAGTATGATATACCACGATTTGCTTATCCATTCACCTAGTGATGGTCATTTGGGTTAGTTAGAGTTTCTGACTACTTCAAACAATTTGTACACTATGAACATGTGTGTACAAATGACTATGAAGACATATGCTTTCATCTCTCTTAGGTAAATAACCAAGAAGTGGAATCTTACATCTAACTTAGTGGGGACTTTTTTCATGTCTCACCATTCAGTATGTTTCATTTTATATTACTGCCTTTACATTCTTAGCTTCCATTTCTTCACTAACATTTTATCTTGAATGATATATATATATTTACATACTATTTTAATCCTTTTTGAAGGTTAAGATAAAACAATCAAATAAATGTCCTTGACAGTCTACTTCTGTCTTCTCTACTTTTCCCTGTCAAGTCCACCTCTTCAGCACATAAGATTTTTTAAAAATTTTGTTATTAGTAACAGTATTGGTAATAATAATGATATTAGCATAATACATTAGTAATAACATTAGCTAATTTTTCAGTATTTATTATGCCAATTACGATAAGCACAGTACCTGCATTACATAATTCAATTTACATAACATCCTAATGACATAAGTAAATTTTGTCATCCTCATTTTACATGAAGAAACTCAACCCTAGCCCTAGCTGGTTTGGATGGAGCATTGGCCTATGGACTGAAGGGTCCTGGGTTCAATTCCAGTCAAGGGCACATGCCTGGGTTGCAGGCTCCATCCCCAGTGCGGGGTATGTAGGAGGCTACTGATGAATGATTCTCTCTCATCATTGATGTTTCTATCTCTCTATCCTTTTCCCTTCTCTCTGAAATCAATAAAAATATATTTTTTTTAAAAAAAACACCCTAGTCAGTTTGGCTCAGTGGATAGAGCATCAGCCTGCAGACTGAAGGGTTCTGGGTTCGATTCCGGTCAAGGGCATGTACCTCGGTTGCAGGTTCCGCCCTGACCCAGGCCCTGGTCAGGGCTCATGTTGGAAGCATCCAATCGATGTGTTTCTCTGACATCGATATTTCTGACTTTCCCTCTCTCTTCCATTCTCTATAATCAATGGAAAAATATCCTCAGGTGAGGATTAGAACACACACACACACACACACAGCTGACATAAAAAATAATGCAGAGTCTAAAAGATAGCCAGTGACAGAGTTAGCTTTTGAGCCAACATTGTTGCACATGACAGCCAATGAATGACCTTATTTACTTTGTGGTTACTCAGAGGTTGATGTCTTTCCAGAAGAAATGAACGGTAAGATGCCAACCTACGATTTCTGAAAGTAGGAACCATTGTTGAAGGGCGATGGAGGGGGGTAATGGGCATCTCACAATCATCTAGCTTTGCTGTCTTACCTGCCTGGGTAGGATAGATGATGAAATAATCACTGAACGTGGGCAGCCTCTTCCTTTCGGATATGTCATCCAATTCCATGGGCTCATCATCTGTTTCAACACCACTATCTCTTCTCTCTGTTTTTTGAAGGATGAAGAGACAAACTACAATGATACATCACTGACACCAGTGACCCTTAATAAAGGTCACCATGCCCAGCCAGTGTGGCTCAGTGGTTGAGCATCAACCCATGCACCCAGAGGTTGGCAGGGCACATGCCAGGGTTGCAGGCTCGTTCCCCAGTAGGGAGCATGCAGGAGGCAGCCCATCCCTGAGGGGGCTTGTAGAAGACAGCCTATCATGTTTCTCTCTCACCAATGTTTCTCTCTCTCTCTCTCCCCTTTCCCTTTAAAAATCAACAAAAACATATTTAAAATAAAATAAAAGTCATCACAGCTTGTATCTTCATAAGAAGAGAGAAATAAGCATAAGCTAAGTCGGATGTTAGTCCCACAAGCCACCTGGAATTACCTGGAAGGTGGGACATCCCTTTGTACACCTGGCCTCTCCCAGCATTTGAAGCTCCCAGACCTACCTCATGAAGTCAGTGACTTGGACCATTCCTCAGCCCAAGTTAGCTATCTATCCCAGTTCAGTTTTCCATCCATCTCTTCCCCCAGCTCAAACTCGCTAGTACAACTATACGACTGAAGTTACATCAGCTAAGGATCCTCTCATTTAAAATGTATTATTTGCACATATATATTTTTAAACCTATTCTTCTTTACTCTGTCATCAGTATGAGAATTTCCTACAAACGTGATGATTACGAAGATGTTTCCACTTACCTCCTCTGCAGGCCTGGATTATAAAGATCTTTGGTTTCTCCTGAAGTGCTGGACAATTTTTATTATTGAACATTTCAAAAATCTCTTCCAGGCTGACTCTTTCATCATCTTTTATTTTCAGATAGCCTTTTTCTCCATGGGACATAAGCGTGACAAGGCAACAGCTAATTTCATCTTTAATTTCATTTAAGCCATCACGAAATGATGTTAGTTGTTCAAGTAACTCCTGTGAAATAGAATAATATATTGAAACTAGAGGCCCAGTGCATAAAATTCGGGCACGGGTAGGGTCCCTAGCGACTGCCGACCAGGGCCTTCCTTCATTCTGTGCCACCCCCTGGTGGTCAGTGCATATCATAGCGAGTGACTGAACTCTTAGTCAAACTCCCAGGGTATACTTTGCATATTGGGCTTTTATATATATAGACTAGAGGCCCAGTGCGCGAAATTCGTGCACTTTGGGGGAGGGTATGCCCCTCAACCCAGCCTGCACCCTCTCCAATCCCCCATGGGGATGTCCGATCTAAACTGGCAGCCGGACATCCCTCTCACAATGCGGGACTGCTGGCTCCCAACCGCTCGCCTGTCTGCCAGCCTGATCACCCCCTAACCACTCCCCTGCCAGCCCCATCACCCCCAACTGCCCTCCCCTGCTGGCCTGGTCGCCCCCAACTGCCCTCCCTTGTATGCCCGATCCCCCCCGAACTGCCCTCCTTTGCAGGCCTGGTCCCCCCCAACTGCCCTCCCCTGCCAGCCCGGTCACCCCTAACTGCCCTCCCATACAGGCCAGGTCACTCCTAACTGCCTTCCCCTGCTGGCCTGATTGCCCACATCTACCTTCCCCTGCCAGCCATTTTGTGGTGGCCATCTTTGACCACAGGGGGGCAGCCATCTTATGTGAGGGCCAATTTGTAAATTACCTTTTTCTTGTCCTAAGAAAGGTTTATATGCAAATTAACCAACAGTCCATCACAAAAATAGTGGCACCCATAGCCACAAGATGGTAGCACTCAGTCCTCTCAGCCCTGCCAGAGTCCCCCAGTCCTGGGGGGAGGGGGGTAGTGGCAGCTGAGAGGGGGCAGTGTGAGCAGCCTAGCGGAATGGGCCTCTGGGCCACGGAGAGCCTCTGGTGCATGGATTCGTGCACAAGGCTGCTAGTATAGGATAAGAACTGAAGGTGGCAGGAAATCAGAGACACTAGAGGTGGCCCCTTTACTAAGAAGGTGACCCAATGTGATGGTAAATATGAAAATACCCACGTCTCTAACAGAGTTAGTATGAAGTAATTATTCGTTTCTTGACTTGTCACTCCCTTTTGGTTGCTCTCAGAGTTCATTTGCTTTCTTCTTGTGCTACTGGTTCTAGTTTGACAAAATTAGGGCATTTCTGATTATCTACCACAAAATACAACAGAATTATAGCTCTTCAAAGGGCTGGTGTTTTTAGTTCTATTATTAACTTATTTTTATAAAAAGTATTTTATAGAACTAATACTCTTAATAAGGTAGAAACGGAAGAGAATGGAAGAGTCCAGCCATTAAGATACACCTGCTGGAGTCTATCAGCAGATGTCATCAAAGTCCACCCGCAGGGGCAGCCATGCATGTCTGGATAAAGACCCTACCCATCTCAATGAAGTAAAGCAAAAAGTAAATGAAGTTCAAATACTGGAAACAAAGAACCAAAGCTCATTATATACAGATAACCTGACTATCTAGAAATATAAAATAAATCAACTAAAAAACTATTAGAATTGGGGATCATCAAGTTGACCAGATATAAGATTTGCTTACAGAGTCTACATTCCCCCAATTACCCAGCAATAATCATTTAAGCCACATAATGGAAAAGGGGATCCCATCTGTGGGCACAACAAAACTAAAATACCTAGAGGGAAAAAACAAACAAACAAACAAACAAAAAAAAAAACAAGGAATACAGATTACCTAAGTGAAGAAAACCAAAAATATATATATATTTGGTGAAGAGGCACCATAAACAAACCATGACATGCTGATGCTTCTGGCTGACGTGACTTAATACTGTTAATTTGCTAATTCACTCCAAATTAATCTCAATTCAGTGTCATACCAATCAAAATCCCAAAGGATTTCTGTAGAAGTTAACCAGATGGTTCTCAAGGCCTTAGAGAACAGGTCATTCTCAAGAACACTAACGCAGAAACCTGGTTTGGCTCAGTGGAAGGGAGAGGCAGAGATAGGAACATCAATGAGAGAGAATCATTGACTGCCTGCCTCTTGCACACCCCGCACTGGGAATCGAGCCTAAAACCCAAGGCATGTGCCCTGACTGGGAATCGAACTGTGATCTCCTGGTTCATAGGGCCCTACTCAACCACTGAGCCACGCCCGTCGGGCCCAATTATTTACCTAATAAAAAAGGAAGGAAGGGTATACAATCCAAGCTACAATTTTTCATTTTTATTTTAATGTGTTACCCTTTTTTTAAAAATATATTTTTTATTGATTTTTTACAGAGAGGAAGGAAGAGAGATAGAGAGTTAGAAACATCGATGAGAGAGAATCATCGATCAGCTGCCTTTTGCACACCCCTTACTGGGGATGTGCCGCAACCAAGGTACATGCCCTTGACCGGAATCGAACCTGGGACCCTTCAGTCCGCAGGCCGACGCTCTATCCACTGAGCCAAACCGGTTTCGGCTAATGTGTTACCTTTTTGTCGGGGTCGATGCATGACGTACATTCAAACTGGCAGAGGTCAAGCCACTGCTTCATGAGAAAAATGTCCCGGTCGGCCCCGAGCCTGTTCTTCTTCACGCACATGAGGAAAGCGATCCGCCTGCCTCTCAGGTCATAGCAGTCCTCCTGTTTGCCAGCAAAGCCAAGAAACAAAGTTTAGACCAACCCTCGGCAGGCTGACCCCTGAACAACTCGGGTCAATGGGAAACTCCCGGGGTAAGTGGACCCCGCACAGTTCCAACCTGTGTTGTTCAAGGGTCAACGGTCTATGAAGCAATGAGTTTCTCCTGGGATTAACGGTGAGGTTTCCCAGTTCAGATCAGGGGCACAGCAGTGATGGCCTCTCTGGGGGGCATGACTTGATTTATAGTTCATCCCAATACCTTTCTCAGACAACCCCTAGATTCAACCATAACTACCGGTTTCAGGAAGCAGGATTGACAGAGGAACGTGGTAAACCAGGTTGGAGCCATTAAAATCCAGAATGTGGGGGATTTTACAGGCCAAACAATCTGGTTTCTTTAACACAGTGGTCAGCAAACTCATTTGTCAACAGAGCCGCAGTTTGCCGACCACTGCTTTAACATATATGCAACTAGAAAAAGGCTAAAGAAGACGTTTTTTTGTGTTGTTGTTGTTTGTTTTTTAAATCCTCACCATAGGATATTTTTTCCATTGATTTTTAGAGCAAGTGAAAGGAAGAGGGAAAGACAAAGAGAAATATCGATGTGAGAGAAACATAATTGGTTGCCTCCTGCACTTTGCACGTGTCCCGACTAGGGCCCGGGCGGGGGGGGGGGGGGGGGGGGGGTGGGGGTGGGGGGGTGGAGCCTGCAACCCAAGTACTAAGTGCCCTTTACCAGAATCAAACCTGGAACCTGGGACCCTTTATCCAGATTCAAACGCTCTGTCCACTGAGCTAACCCGGCCAGGGCAGGAAGAAGTCTTAAGAGACAAACCAGTCAAATGTAATTGTGTAGACTAGAGTTCTGATTCCAACAAACCAACTTTAAAACACATAGGGCCCTAGCCAGTTTGGCTCAGTGGATAGAGGTTGGCCTGTGGACTAAGGGTCCCAGGTTCGATTCCGGTCAAGGGCATGTACCTTGGTTGCGAGCACATCCCCAGTAGGGCCTGTGCAGGAGGCAGCTGATCTGATGTTTCTTTCTCATTGATGTTTCTAACTCTCTATCCCTCTCTCTTCCTCTCTGTAAAACTCAATAAAAATATATTTTAAAAATAAAATAAAACACATAGGAACCAGTCAAGGATAGCTAAATGCTTTGTTTTAGGTAAAAGTAAGGAATTATGGTTCTGTTTTGAAGAAAAGCGTTCTCAGAGATACATACTAAAATAAAGTCTATGTAGATGAAAGTGATAAGATATCTAGATTTGCTTTAAAATAATGGGGGGAGGGGGAGGACAAATAAAACAGGACTGGCCATTGTGTTGCTAATTGCTGAAGCAGAAGTATCCCCGCCAGAGATTGGAGGAGCCATCTTCCCAGTCTCTTTACTTTCTCCTACATTTAAAATATCCATAATAAAACAACAATTAAAAAAAACCTAAGGCCATGCAAACAGTGTTTTATCTCCAGCGGCCACTTGCTTTGATTTGTAAAATAGAGAGAGTAACAGTAGTTTCAGCCGGCTGTTAGAACAGGAAGCAGTGAGATCGGAGATCTCACAGCACACAGGTGGTGAGTCATCTCTGACCCCACAGGAGCAGCGCCCCAAATGTCCAAGTGGGGGGCCAAACGCCAGCTTTAATAAGCAGCGTGCAGGGTGGGAGTGAGGGTGATATTTACCGAGTCCCCGTCCACACAGTTATAGCTCCTCTTCAGAGCTTTTCTTGGGATCACTGAATGAATTTTCATGGGAAGAGAACAAAAAAAAGAGTATTATTATTATTTTTTTTTTTCTTTTGAATCAAGTTCCTCCCAAGCATTTCCCATGGCCTCTCATGCTTCTGGGTCCGGCCAGCTTCCATCACGTTTTAGAACAGCTTCCTTGGGTTAGGGATGTCGCCTCCCCCCAACTCATGAGGCTAGAACCCTAAAACAGAGCTCCCTCAGGCCCCGTGAGGTTCAGGGACAGAAAGACCCCAGTCAGAGGTTAAAGGACAAGGACTAACTGACATTAGGCACATGCACTTCCTGAGGAGGAGGCCAAGACATCAATAAAGAGAAGATGAAGGAAAGGAAAGGGTAATTAAACCATGATACATTTGTTTGGGAGGGGGGGGGGCAATGGTAAAATATGTACACAGATAATAATTTAATAAAGGAAAATAAAAATAATAAAAAAAATAAACTGTGATGCATAAAATACTAACGGGGAGGGAGGGAAGGGGGGAAGGGAGGGAGACAGAAGAGGGACAGTGTAAGCACAGTGTAGGGGCAGCAAACCAAGGGGGAGTCAAAGGTCAGTGGGACAGTATCCAGCCTGAAGGCCTTGTTTGTTGGCAATTACAGGTCTCCGCTGCCAACCTGCAAAAATCAGCAGCGGCTCCCTTCCTCCAACTCAACCAGCTCATATGCAGGCTGAGGGCACGGGCCATGCACAGGGCATTTTAGTGTCACCTCAAAGCCTCCCATATAAGTACTGCCTTGCCTCTCTCTCTCTCCATTCACTCATATATTATACACATGCACTTATTCAATTTGGGGATAGAGGAGGGACTAACCTCCCGCAACCTGTTTTCCTGTGCATTTCCTCTATCACACCTTCCCAGATTCATGGCAATGAGCTAACGGTGTGCAAGGAGGCGAAGACCTCCGGCCCCTGAACACCCGCCGGAGATCCGGGCAGAGAGGATTCCAACCCGGGGCTGCTCCTGCCCTAGCCGGTATGGCTCAGTGGATAGAGCGTCAGCCTGCAGACTCGAGTCCCAGGTTCGATTCCAGTCAAGGACATGTACCTTGGTTGCCGGCACATCCCCAGTGGAGTGTGCAGGAGGCCGCTCATAGATGTTTCTCTCTCATTGATGTTTCTAGCTTTCTGTCCCTCTCCCTTCCTCTCTGAAAAAATATCAATAAAATATATTTTTTTAAAAAGACCTCCCACATCACAATCCCTTGGGGGTGCTTGTTACAAACGCGTCTCGGACCTGTCCCTCTGACCTCTGAGCCCGCCTCCGAACGCACGAGCAGATCCTGATGGCTATTCTTCCACAGGACACGGGGATTCCCAGCCTGGACAAGGTGCCCATCCCGCCCACGCACTCCCATCCCATCCCCCTCTCCCTTCCCCACCCCCTTTCCCTTCCCCTCCTCCACCCCACCCCACCCCACCCCACCCCACCTGCCCGCCGCAGGTGCAATGAGCCCCTCGATGCTCCCACCCTCCTGGTTCAGATACACCCCCCACCCCTTCTTCCAGCCTCTGCTCTGGGCGCGGAGGGGCCCCTCGGGAGCCGCCTGGAAATCCCCGGGCGGGCCGGAGCCCGCGCCCCGGGAGGACCGCCCCAGGCCGGAGCCCGCGCGCGCCCCGGGAAGACCACCCCGGGCCGGGGTCCCGCGCCCCGGGAGGACCACCCTGGGCCGGAGCCCGCGCCCCGGGAGGACCACCCCGAGCCAGAGCCCGCGCCCCGGGAGGACCACCCCAGGCCGGGGTCCCGCGCCCCGGGAGGACCGCTCCGGGAGGACCGCCTCGGGCCGGGGTCCCGCGCCCCGGGAGGACCACCCCGGGCCGGAGCCCGCGCTCACCCGGGCCGTAGGCGAGGAAGCCCTGCCAGCGCGGCAGCAGGTCGGTGCGCGGCAGCTGCTGCAGGACCCTGACCAGGACGCGCGCCGCGGTGTCCGGCGGGTAGTGCTTGGCGAGGAGCCGCGCCAGCCCCGCGATGCTGCCGCCCTCCAGCTCCAGCTTGAGCGGCGTCACGCGCGGCTCCTCGTCCTGCTTGGTGAGGAGGGAGCGGAAGGTGCGCAGCTCCAGCGGGGACAGCAGGTCCAGGGTCTCCTGCAGGCGGTGCAGCAGCTCCTCCCAGGCCTGCGTGGTCTCCCCGAGGGCCTGGGGGCCGTCGGGCCCTGAGAGAAGGCCGCCTCCGAGGCTCCCCTCCATCTTCGCCCCACGGATCTGCAGTCCTCGGAGGCCAGGCCAGTCCCGGGAGCACCAGGCCCGCGCCGCGCACGCCTCCCGTCCCCCCTCTTTGTTTTGAACAGACGGGGCGGTTCCGCCTGAACGGCCGCGGAGCCTGCCTATGGCTGTTCGCGCCTTCCCCGAGGCCACGCCCCTCACCCCAGCCCCCCTCTTCCTCCCACGCCCCCCCCCCCCCCCCCCCCCCCCCCCCCCCCCCGCTTCCAACGGTCTCTGCCTTAACCCTCGGCGCTCAGGGTCGGGAGCCGATCAGAGAATGGGCCCTGCAGGCTCCTCCGGGGTTCTCTGCCTTAGGCCGCTGCGCCGTAGGGCCCATCACCTGGGGAACTTTTAAAGCGCTTCGTGCCCAGGCCCCCACCTAGGCTAAACATAGTAAATCTGGTGGTGGAAGAGGGCCAAAAACCAGTTTGGTTCAGTGGATAGAGCACTGGCCTGTGGACTGAAGGGTCCCAGGTTCAAGTCTGGTCAAGGGCATGTACCTTTGTGGCGGGCACACCCCCAATAGGGGGCGTGCAGGAGGCGGCAGCTGATGTTTCTCATGTTTTGAACTCTATCCTTCTCCCTTCCTCTCTGTAAAAAAAAAAACCAAAACAATAAAAACATACTTTTAAATCATAAAATGTATATTTAAATCAATAAGATATTAAAAAAAAAAAAAAACCCTGTGGGAGCAGACCCAGCCAGGCATCAGTAGGTTTAAAGCTCTCCAGATGATTCCAATGGTTATCCAAGTTTGAGAACCACGGGTCTTACGCTCCAGGGTGTTTTATCAGCTCCCTAGCCAGCGGTTCCCACGGAGCCAGAAGCACGTAGGGCTGCTGCATCGACCCAACTTTTTGGGGAGCCAGCGTGGTGACAAAATAGCTGAGGTGTGGGAATTTGGTGCCCGCAAGAAGTGAGAAGTGCACACTGCTCAGCCTGTGGGACAAAATAAGAGCAGCCATTGTGTTGCTAATTGTTGAAGCAGGATGAGTATGGGGGCTGAGGTTCGGAGGATCCATTTTCCCAGCCTCTCTAGTATATGCTTAAAATATCCATAAGAAAACTTCAACAGCAATTAGAAAAACCTTGGTGAGCAGATCTCAGCTTCACAACCCCCAGTCTTTTTTTAAAAAAAAAAATATATATTTTATTGATTTTTTACAGAGAGGAAGGGAGAGGGATAGAGAGCTAGAAACATCGATGAGAGAGAATCATCCATCAGCTGCCTCTTACACACCCCCTTTTGGGGATGTGTCCGCAACCAAGGTACATGCCCTGGACCGGAATCGAACCTGGGACCTTTCAGTCCGCAGGCCGATGCTCTATCCATTGAGCCAAACCGGTTTGAGCACAACTCCCAGTCTTTATTGCTAGGTTCCCTGGCTTAATCAGGCCCATAGGGAGGACAGTGCCCCCAGAGGACTTACTTTTGAACAGTCGGTGGAAGGATCTCAGGACTTTATTTGAATCCTGATTCAGAGAAACTTATTGTAAACATTTTTGAGGCAGTTAGAGTGCGGAAGGAGGAACGCAGGAGGCCCAAAGTAGTGAACTATAAATGTATTGTTCCATCATGAGCAGAAGGGCTGAGACCAAAATGGCATCAGAGGGGCAGAGCAGGGGAGTGGAATAGTGATGTCTCTTGGTGAAGGTCACTCAGAGTAAGGGGTGGGACCAGGTGCAGGTGGGGGCCAGGTGTAGGCGGTCCACTGGAAACTGGGTGAGGTGGTTTATGGGAAACCGAAGGTGGTTTATGAGGAAATGTAAGGTGAGAATAACAGGAAAATCCCAAGCAGGGCATAATGGAGTGCCAGAATCTGCATAACAAGAGATCAGAGAAATGTGAATATAGGCTGGGTATTGGAGGATACACCGAAAAATACTAACTTTTTCCAAGTGGGATAATAACATTGCAGTCACACACACACACACACACACACACACACACACACACAAAAAGTCCTGTTTTTTGAGATGCACATTGAAATGTGAAAAGGTGAAAGATGTGATGTCTGGGATCTGCTTTTAAAAGCTTCACAAAGGAAAAAAGTGGGGGCAAGAGTAGAAAGCCAAACAAGAGTAGCAAAATCCTGATAACTGTGTCAAAATAACATTCGCTCCCACTCCTGTGACTGTTTGGAATATTTCCCAGTATGTATGTGGGAACAGTACAATGGCAGCTTGAAAGCTTGGCATCTGACCTTTTTGCTCTGCCTTACCAGTCTCCCCTCTCCCCCCATTTCCTCCTCTAAGTAATTTGCCTGAGGCAGCCGAGAGCTGAATTAATTTTTAAAAAGTAAAGGGGTGGAGGGGGGATTACAGTGAGCAATGTTTACAGAGTCACTTCCTTTCTGAAATGTGATATCTTTGGGAGACAGCGCGACAGGAAAAAACAAATTCTTGGGGCTTGGGATATGCAACCCCCAAGGTCACTTGCCTCTGATCATCACCCTGTAACAAGGTCACTCGAGCTGGTTCACAAAGGCAAGTTTGCAGTCTCACCCTAGGTTTAGAGAAAATTAGACTATTTCCCCAATCGTTTGATTCTTTTCCCCTAAAAGGACAAATGAAGAGCATGGAATGGGGTCTCTGCTGGCTAACTTCACTAGTCAAAAGGAGGCAGGTGAATCTGCCCGGGGATGAAGCCCACACCTCTGAGCCTCATCTCTGCCCACCCTTCCCAGGGGCCTCACTGACTTGAGGCTCCAAAGGCCCAAAATGAAAATCAAAGGAGACCGAAGAGGACCCGAGAAAGAACCTGAGAGTTGCCGGGACCGGTTTGGCTCAGTGGATAGAGCGTCGGCCTGCGAACTGAAAGGTCCCGGGTTCGATTCCGGTCAAGGCCATGTACCTTGGTTGCGGGCACATCCCCAGTAAAGGGTGTGCAAGAGGCAGCTGGTCGATGTTTCTCTCTCATCGACGTTTCTAACTCTCTGTCCCTCTCAATTCCTCTCTGTGTAAAAATCAATAACATATATTTGAAAAAAAAGAAAGAACCTGAGAGCCATGGCTGAGTCCTGAGAGACAGCCACTCCTCCCTCTGTCTCCTTTCATTCCTGTCCCAACACACCATTCTCAGTCCTAAGTGCTCCGCTGCTTTCCCCAGCACAAGGCCTCACCCGTCACCATGCACTAGGGACTCAGGCGCCACTATGAGGTTAGTGTCCTACTCTGTTCTCTCTGATACTCCTTCCCATGTAATTGGGGAAAAAAAAAAAAAAATTAGGGTATTTTAACCTAAAACCTAAATTGTAAATCATTGAACTTCCTAACCCCAATATGTAACCATATTTGGAAACAGGGTCTTTGCAGATATAATCATGTTAAAATGGGGTCATTCTGGGGTAGATGGGCCTTAATCCAGTGGCTGGTGTCTTTAAGAGAAGATGGAGTCCTAGCTGGTTTGGCTCAGTGGGTAGAGCGTTGGCCTGCGGACCAAAGGGTGCCAGGTTCAATTCCAGTCAAGGGCACATATCTTGGTTGCAGGCTCCTCCCCAGCCCAGGCCCTGGTAGGGGCTGGTGCAGGAGGCAATCAATCAATGCATTTTCCTTCCATCAATATTTGTCTTTCCTTCTCTTTCACACTCTCGAATCAAAGGGAAAATATCCTCAGGAAAAGATGTTTAAAAAAAGAGAGAGGATGGGAATTTGGACACTAGAGACACATGGGCAGATGGGAGCAGTGAGTGCCAAGAACTGCCAGGAGCCACCAGACACTGGGGGAGACAAGGAACTAGAGCCTTCAGAGTGTGGCCCTGTGACACCTTGATTTCATCTGTAGGGTCCACAACTGTGAGACTCAGTTTGCTGTTAGAAGCCATCGTTTGTGCTAATTTATTGTGGCAGCCCTAGGAAAATAATGCAAACTGCTCCTTTAACCTCACCACAGCCCTCGGGTCACCACCGCCATTCTCTACGCAATTTCCAGTGTGTCCAGGAGGTGGAGGGCCAGGCTTTCAACCCGGACCGCCTGGATCACAGCCAGGTTCTTAACCAGGAGACCAAACTTCCCCTCTCTGGCGCTTAAAGGAACAGCTCTTTCCTAAGCTTGAACGTTGACAGGAAAACTTGGATGGCTCTCATGAATAACAGGCAGTAAGTATCACGTGATGAGGAAAACGTGGGGAGATTGGAACCCTCATACACGGTTGCTGGGGATGTGAAATGGATCAGCCACTTTGGAGAACCTGGTAGTTTCTCCACCGGTTACAGTTAACACGTGATCCAGCAAATTACACTGCTAGGCCTTACAGGTGTGGGCAAAAGTAGGTCTACAGTTGTGAGTACAGGAAAGTTTATTCTTGTATTATTATTATTATATTATTTGGATTATGCAAACCTATTTTTGGCCATCCCCGTATATGCAAGGGAAATGAAAATGTACATCCATACTAACATGTGTAAATGAATGTTCATAGTGGCATCATTCGTAAGAACCCCAAAGTGGCCGAGACCGGTTTGGCTCAGTGGATAGAGCGTCGGACTGAAAGGTCCCGGGTTCGATTCCGGTCAAGGGCATGTACCTTAGTGGTGGGCACATCCCCAGTAGGGGGTGTGCAAGAGGCAGCTGATCAATGATTCTCTCATCGATGTTTCCAACTCTGTATCCCTCTCTTTTCCTCTCTAAAAAAACCAATACAATATATTAAAAACAAACAAAAAAAAAGAACCCCAAAGCGGAAACAAAATATTAGTTCACTGACGGATAAATAACATAGAGTACAGGCATACAATATAGCATCCTGCCACTAAAAAAGGATAAAGTGTTGGATATGCCACATCAGAGATGAAACTTAAACACATGATGGTAAGTGAAAGAAGCCAGCCACAGGAGCCTACATCCTGTATGGCTCCATTGACATGAGATCTAGAGAAAAGGCGAATTTAAGACAGAAAGCAGACCAGTGGCTGCCTGGGGTTGGGATCCAGAACGAGGATTAACTATAAACGAGATCTTAAGGAGGGATACACGCGTTCTAAAATTGATTTATGGTGATGATTGCAGTAAAGTTACTAAAAATCACTGAATTGTATATTTGCAATGGGCACACCGATGACAAGTAACAACACTGTTTAGACATTTTAGGTCCTAGATTTTAGGACCTACCTAGGTCTTAGGACGGCGTGATGACATTATTTAGTTTTCCAAGAAGTTTCAATGGTAAAGTGCTGCGTTTTATTTACCTGGACTTCAGCTGCAGAAAATGCCAGAACTCAGAGGTGAAACAGAGCTGGGACAAAATAAAAACCTTTATTTGGACACTGAGAGGCTAGGAAGCCACTGTCCCCACTTCGGCAGGGCCTCCGCCAGGTGAATGAACCAATTCTTCCTCATCCCCACATCTCCTCCGATGCAGACTTTGGCCTGGTGACAGTGACTCCTCTTTCTGCCGAACCGCCCCGCCCCCCTCCTCCACTGGAGTTCCTCAGTAACAGCAGGTGGCCCGCAGCTTCTCTGGCTTTGCACTTCCTTGTCCAAGAACAGACCCCAGAGGCACGGTGGAGTGGGGGTGGCTGAGGCAGAGACCCCCAACAGAGCGCTCTCCCTGGAAATGCTGTCAGGTTTGCAGGTGTGCGAGCCCTTCTCCCCCAGGTGCCTGCGTGTGTCTCAGTGGCTCCTCTTCAGGGAGATTCTGAGAGCTGGAGTCAGGCCCACCTATTCGCTACCTGGCCTGGGTAACAAGGTGACTTATCTGCCTGGCTCTCCCCATAGGGCTTTGTCTCCGTCCAGAGAGGACGCAGCTCTTGGCAGACACCAGGCAGGGCAACAGGTCCCATCTCTTCCCGGTGCCCCTGGGTCAGGACTTGAGGCCCATCTTGGCCATCATCTCTTCGTAGACTGTCCACGCCATGGCTGCCATCAGAGTCCTGCGGAGGACCCGGGGGACCCCGCCTTGGAAGAAGCCACGCAGCCCGTAGTCCTGGGAGGGAAATGAATGTCAAAACTCTGATAAGCAGCAATAGCGTTATATACCGGCTACAAGAGTGAGTACCCCGTTTTTGAGTCTTAGTTTTTAGGCTTTTATAAATAATGTCCAAACTATGACTAATGAGCTCAAGAAGACAATGAACTTAAAAAAACCCAGGCTTCAACATTTGGTGTAGAAACAGTCTCACCTTGTGCTAAGTACCAGGGAGACCATTCTTACCAATGAGAGGGCCAAGAAATGGATTTGGCAACCTTTTGTAGGACAAATACTTTGGTATCATTAAATTCATGACTTGTCTATAATCTCTTACTCCAAAGGAGTTTCTGTACATTTTAGTACTGCATTTTTTTCTTTTGTTTTTGTTTTAATATTACATTTCTTTGTATTTCTTTTATTGGGCAAGGGTTTGAGTTCTTTAAGCTGAAAATTTCCTCCTGAAATTAATATCCATGCAATCACCATGAAGTACATTGTAATAAATTTTTTTTTTTTTTTTTTTGCTTACTTGCTAAACTTTCTTTCTAGGTTTGCTCCCTCCCAGGGGATTTATTTCTTAGCTGCACAAAAACCCCAGTGGCAGCTGGAAACCAGACCAAGGTCTGCTCGCCCAGCCCTGGGTCCTGGCTCCAGGCAGAAAGAAAAGGTGCCTTTTTGGCAATTTCTCTGCCTAGAGGGAGCTTTTTGGGGAACAGGGAAGGGAGAGGGAGGTAATTCACTGTATATTTTTGGTGGCTCTATATAAGAATTAAAGCCAAAACACCTCTTTTTTATCCCCCATAATCTGAATTAATTTGTTCATTCCTATTGTTATGTTCCTGCCATTTTATCATATACTGAAGAATATATTTTAGGTAGGGGCTGGGGGCTGGGGAAGCGGGGAAAATGGGAGATAGCTATAATGCTATCAACAATAAATATATATACATGTGTATCTATGAATATATTTCAGACTATGTGACTTTAGGTATAGAGAAGAAGAGAGCAGGCAACCTAAGCAGTGTGAAGATATGACCAGATTCATAAATATCTGCTTTTATCTAGGGTGGAACTTGACGCATATGCTCAGGTTTCCTCTGCTGCATAGAAAAATTGACAGGTACAGAAAAATCTAAAGATATAGGTGATAAATTTACCGCAAACAAGAGTATCTGGTGGGTGATAATAGTACATGTTTCCCAAGAGCCAACTCAGTGGTTTTAAATAGAACTTCAAAGCATTTACATCTACTGTACTGTTATCTTCAGTGACACCATTTGCAGAAGAGCAAGTGAGAAAATGTGCTTGTGGGTTTTTTTCTGACTATATTTCCTCCTGGGTCCTTAACAAGTCTCCCCGGATCACCTGACTCAATGAGTCTAGGGTAGAACCCTACAATCTACATGCTTTACAAATACCACAGGCTGTCCTAATATAGGGCCCCTGGAAAAACAAACAGACAAACAAAACACTGACCGTAGGTTTTCAGCAGTGACTCTCAATTTTGGCAATAAGATTTAAGAGCCACTGGGGAACGCCCTAACTGGTTTGGCTCAGTGGATAGAGCGTTGGCCTGCGGACTGAAAGGTCCCAGGTTCGATTCGGGTCAAGGGCATGTACCTTGGTTGCCGGCATATACCCAGTGGGGGGTGCAGGAGGCAGCTGATTGATGTTTCTCTCTGATCGATGTTTCTTACTTTCTATCCCTCTCCCTTCCTCTCTGTAAAAAAATAAAATAAATTAAAAAAAAAAAAAAGAACCACTTGGGAACTTAAAATACGGATACCTGGTTTTCACCCCCCAGAAACTCTGCTGTACTCAGCTCAGGTTGAGGGGATTTTTAAAAGCTCCCCAGGTGACTCTACTGTGTAAAGGATAAGAGCTACTGTTACTCTAGAGAGAGGGTCTTAACCGCAATGAGAACAAATATGGATTGTACAGCCTTACTTTGAAGATGATTGTCACTGCCTGGCCGATCCACCGAAATTTCCCTGGGGAGAGCTGCATATGAGTTTTGATGACATCTGCAGGCTGAGTTACCAGTGAGGCCAGAATCCCAGCAAATACCCCACAGCTGAAGTTTACAACGGGAATAAGGGCTGCATCCAACTGGTCTGAAATAGGAAAGAGGGAACACTCAGTTGTAAACAGATCTCATTCATCAGATAAATATCGATGCCAAGTTGCCCACTAGTTTTTCCCCAAAGCCAGAAGGGCCTGGATTTGGACAAAGTTGAGAATTAAAAAATTTAAAGGTATAACTAATAAGTGTTGATGGAGTGAAGATTCACCTTTTTATAACCATCACAATTGATTCAAGCAAGAACCAATGCCTAATGCTCCAATGTATAGATGAAGGGAACAAGAAGTTTTATATGGATTTAAGTAGGTTCAAAGTATCTTCCCACAGAGATACAAATTACAATAATAATAATAATAATAATAGAGTTTTCAATGGAGATGCTACCTTATCCACATGATAAAAAGTTAACACCACCCACAATGGGTCAGACTGATGTCAGGAGCTTCCCGATGTAAGGTACTGGGGACACAATATCACTTACTGGTCCTCTTGCAACCTTAGAATCAGGCAGATTTAGGAAGCATCCTTAAGGGCCTCTGTAGAAGTGCTTTGTTCTGCCCCACCCCTCATTAAGAATGACAGTGCATCCCTTTCCAAGGCTGCACGTGAAAGGGCACAGACCACGCCTGTGATGCCCGCCGCACCCCGGCGCCTGCCCTGGCCCGCCACAACGCCCAGGCTCAGTTCTGAAAACCCTGCTGAGGGTCTGGAGCTGCTAAGAGCAACAAACAGTCTCCCAGTCGCAGAGAAAGTGGTGAGGATGCGTTTCGGGAGATCTTTTCCCCACCACACCTTCTTTCACCCGTACCGTGGGGCACGATGGCTTTGGTCTGGTTGTAAAACATCAGGTAGATTCCGGAAAAGGGGGCATCACGAAGGAGTGTGGCTGTCAGGCCGCTGAAGAGGCCCCGGTGGCCCTCGCTGCGGTAGATGCTCCGCAGGGCTGCGTAGACGCTCTCGTAGCCGTACCTCCCGCTCTGCGAAGGAAGCACAGAACAGGGGCTCGCACGGTGGGCCCGGATGTGAGCACTGAAGCAGGCCAACTTCAGGGTGGCTGGCATTACCAGGGCACCGGGGCGTTGGCTCACACACGGCTTGGCCTGAATAACAAATGGGTTCTCTGGGAGGTGGCTCAAGGAGCTTCCTGCCTCTGTTTACCCACCCTGAGGGCCTAACGTGGTCAAACTCACCTCGTAACGTGTCTTGATCACAGTGATGGGCGACATGCAGACCCCTGCGACCGAGCGCGAGCTCACCCCCAGCATGACGGACTCCATGGCAGTGGGGGGATGGCCTCGCAGTAAGTATTGCTTCAGAGAGTAGAGGGTCCCGAAGTAGATTCCAACACCAGGGACACACCTCACAATGGACTGCAGGGAGGGGTGGTGGTGGTGGTAGTGGTAAGAGTTGGAGAAGGAAAGAAATCGAAGGTCGGTACTGTCAGATACTGGGTTTTCCCAAAGGACCCAGGATTTGCATGCAAGTAGTTGATTGGAGAGAGGGCAGACGGTCCATCAGTTACTCCCACGGTCAAGGGAACCCCTTTGGGGAACGCTGGGCAGGGTGAAGGACATGCCTCAGAGCTATGGAGGGGAGAGATAGAAGCTGCTCGTCCCTAGCCTTCACACAGCAAGGGAGCCACCGTGAGACAGGCAGGAGGACCATGTAGGTCCTCCCACCACTTCCAACGCTCACGTTTGCTTAAAGGAGGATACGTGGGGTAGACGAGTTATGAAAGAGAGGGTGCAAGAGAAGATCCAGAAGGCAGCTTACAGGGGACACCCCTTTCCACAGGCCCAGGAGACTCTCGGTGCGGACCACCTGCAGGAGCAGAGCGAGCATCCCCACACGCCTGGATCTGCGGGCAGACAGCAGGGAGGGAGGGAGGGAGGGAGTCACAGCCCGCACCCGCTCAGGGCAGCTCCCCGCTCCACGACTCCTCTGTGTGGACCCGTCAGGGCACTTTAGAGTCTACAATTTGCCCTAACCATTTGGCTCAGTGGATAGAGCCTCAGCCTGCGGACTGAAGGGTCCCAGGTTTGATTCCAGTCAAGGGCACGTACCTTGGTTGCGGGCACATCCCAGGTGGGGGGCGTGTGGGAGGCAGCTGATCGATGATTCTCTCTCATCGATGTTTCTAACTCTCTATCCCTCTCCCTTCCTCTCTGTAAAGAATCAATAAAATATATTAAAAAAAAAAAAAAAAAGAATCTACATGCATCTTGGAATCTCAGAATTCTTAAGTGTTGTGATTTGACACTTATGTTTTTATCTGTCCAGTCATCCTACAATCAATGGAATAACCTGACCTGATTTAAATCCTTCCAGTTCATACATATTTAGTACACTCCATACTGGCAGCACAGGGACATTACGGGCTAGCACAATAACACGCAAATGTCACCCAGGCAGATCCAGGAAGCTGCTCAGGGAAGGACCCCGTTTAGTCAACATCAAATTACATAAATTAATTATACTAATGTAAAAAATATTCACAGAGAAGAATATACACAGAACCCATGAAGGGAGGGCCTGGCCTGTTCCCAGCCAGCAGCCAACAGAACGGAGGTGGACGTCACATGGTACAGATGCTCCCAGGCCAGAGGGAAGGTGGGAGACCAGTCCCTCAGGGAGATGGGGGACAGCAGGCCTTACCCATGGGCCGTGGGCTGGAGTGTCTGCAGACGCGTTTTGAGGAGATCCAGGGGCTGGAAAAGGAGGGTGGAGCAGGTGCCACTGATGGAACCGCACAGGAAAGCCTTGATCGTCGGGTGCAACTGCAGGACAAGAGAACACTGTCATCTGTGGGAAGATCTCATCGAAGTCACCTGGTGGCGCCCTCTACTGGCTTCAAGGCGCAGCCAGGAGTGATCGGCCTGCAAGGCTGTTGGGAGCACAGCAGGCGGCAGGGGGAGCTCTCTGGTCCTGACATTGCTAACTTGGCTCCTACTGAACGGTGCGTCTATTTCATGGGTGTCCCCACAATAAAGATTACTGCCCACCTCCTTATCTTCACAAAAGCAAAACCGACTGAACACAGTGTTTGGACTCTGAACGGCTGGTTCCCAGGCTCCCTGGCTACAGGGCCTGCAGACGTTTATAGGAACAAGACAAAGGAAGTGAAACCTTAAGTGTAAGGCATGCGCCACTTCCTGTGAAACCTACGGTTTCCTTAATTTAAAACTTTCCCCTTCCCTTTCCCCCGCCCATCTCTCTGAGACCTCAGCAGCGTGCTGAGGGTGCGGTAGACCAGTGGCCTTTCCTGGTTCTGCTGGCTCTCCTGTAAGCCAGGGCTGTCATACACACTGATGAGTCCAGAGGCACCACCAGGAAGGGCAGGAATCCATCAAAAACTCAATGGACTCCCCCAGCCGAGCGCCAGAGCCCTCACAGCATCCCCGGGATCCAGGATTTTGAGGAGATGAGGAAGGCTGACATCTTCCAGAGTGCAAAGTGGCTCTGGAATGTCAAGAATCTCTCTGGGCCGAAACCGGTTTGGCTCAGTGGTAGAGCGTCGGTCTGCGGACTGAAAGGTCCCAGGTTCGATTCCGGTCAAGGGAATGTACATTGGTTGCGGGCACATCCCCGGTAGGGGGTGTGCAAGAGGCGGCTGGTTGATGTTTCTCTCTCATCGACGTTTCTGGCTCTCTATCTCTCTCCCTTCCTCTCTGTAAGAAATCAATAAAATATATTTTAAAAAAAAGAAAAGAAAAGAAAAAGAATCTCTCTGGGTTGTGTCCCATGGAAGTTTGTCACTGACCCGAGTTCCTCAACTATGAAACATGAATTTCTGAGCTAAGGAATAGCTCTTGATAAACGATTAAGAAATAATGAAAAATAACCCTAACCAGTTTGACTCAGTGGATAGAGCGTCCGCCTGCAGACTCAAGGCTCCCAGGTTCGATTCCGGTCAAGGGCATGTACGTTGGTTGCGGGCACATCCCTAGTAGGGGGTGTGCAGGAGACAGCTAGCTGATTGATGTTTTTCTCTCATCAATGTTTCTCTCCCTCTCCCTTCCTCAGTGTAAAACAAAACAAAACAAAAAAAAACCCAAAATATATTTTTTTAAAAGAAATACTGAAAAATAAAAATCCAATAAAAAAGGAAAACCTTCTCCAAAGAATTACTTGGCAATCTCCATTCAAAATGGTATTCTCCCCCTCATTATTATTTTTTTTTAGCATATTTTTATTGATTTCAGAGGGGAAGGAAGAAGGAGATAGAAACATCAATGATGGGATCACTGGTCCACTGTCTCCTCACACCTCCTACTGGGGAATGAGCCTACTTCCGGGCACGGGCCTTTGACTGGAATCAAACCTGGGACCCCTCAGTCTGCAGGCCTACGCTCCATCCACTGAGCCAAACCAGCTAGGGCTCCCTTGTTATTTTTAAATAAATGGTACACATGATCCTAAAACACTATTAAGATGAATATAAAGTTGCCTTTATGCACATCATGTAACCAAAATGATTACGATCTGTGATGTTTGCTTCCCAGAGAAGAGAAATCATTCCACATTCCACCAAACAATCCAGTTGCAAGTTATAACTGGACTTACTTAAAAGATTGTTGGGAAAGGATTAGATAAGTTCAGACAGTAAGCAGTGCAGTTTATAACCATGTTCAGGCAGCTTGTAAAAGTATCAAAGGATGGTAGAATTGGCAAGACAGCCTGGCCAGCGTGGCTCAGTGGCTGAACATCCACCTAGGAACCAGGAGGTCATGGTTTGATTCCTGGTCAGGGCTCATGCCCAGGATGTGGGCTCGATCCCAGTATGGAGTGTGCAGGAGGCAGCTGATCAAAGATTCTCGCTTATCATTGATGCTCCTTCTCTCTCTCTCTCTCTCTCTCTCTCTCTCTCTCTCTCTCTCTCTCTCTCTCCCCCCCCTCCCTTCCTCTCCAAAATCAATAAAAATATGTTTTTCAAAAAAAGAATTGGTAAGACAACAGTGAAACGGAGTAAAATGGGTAGTACTACAGGTCGGTCACAAATCCCTGCCCCCAAGGAGAGGCTCCTGCTCCTTCTGCTGACACATATTCATCCCCTAAGTGTGTTTCTCAGCCTCGACCAGACTTCGCAACACCAATGAGCGTTCTTCCTGCACTCTCGGCCTCTCCCTTCCAGTGACATCCTCTCTGTTGCCTGGAAACAAGCTCGCAAGGCCCCCAGCTTCCCAGCTCAATGGCCAGCCATCTCCTCTCCCTCTTCACTCCTCAGACCCCCATCGCCTGCCTTCCAGCCAAGGCGTCTCACTAAGCTGCCCTGGTGCTTGCCAAGGACCTCATTCCCATCTTTATCGTTTCTTACGTGGTGGTCCCGCTGGTGCATCTGAGGTGGCTGATGGCCTCTCCTCTCAGGTTGGGGTTTTCTCTCTTCTGGCTGCCTGCTGTGTCTCCTTTCCCTCAGCCTGCCTGCAGATGTTTCTGTTCCCTTATCTCCTCCAGCTGCAGCCTCTCAGGGCAACCTCACCCTGCCCACACCCACACCCACACCCACACCCACACCCACACCCACACCACACACCACACACAGGCAGCAACACCCACACCTGAGTAATCCAGTTTCTTTGTTTTGTAGGGCAAAAAGAACCAAACATTACTAGACACGTACACAAATAGTAGCACTTAAATAGTTAGCAAACTAGTTCCCCAAGCAATTTCTACATCCCTTCAAAAAATAAAATCCTAGTACAGCCTGCATGGCTGAGTGGTTGAGCGTCAACCTATGAACCAGGAGGTCATGGTTCAATTCCTGGTCGGGGCACATGCCCGGGATTGTGGCTAGACGCCCAGTGTGGGGCGTGCAGGAGGCAGCAGATGGATGGTTCTCTCTCCTCACTGATGTTTCTACCTCTCTCTCCCTCTCCCTTCCTCTCTGACATCAATTTAAAAAATGTTTAAAAGTAAATAAGTAAATCCTAAAACCAGTTCAATTGTAAATCCAATAAATCTCCGGGCCAGAGGCTGGATGCGGCCCCGCCTCCGTCACCACCAATAGGAACTCGGAGGCCCAACCGCGGCAGCCAATCAGGACGCCCGGGGGCGTGGCCTCGCGGCGCCGGCAGATGCACCCACTCGCGGCCAGTTGGGGGCTGGAGACCCAAAGGTGCCCCCCTCTCCGCCGTCCCCGGCTGGGCCTTGCGATGGCCCCAATAACTGACCGCCCCCCAAGGCCCCGGCAATCCCGCCCATCTCTACCCAGACACCATTCCCTGCACCAGCGCGACCTTTAGTCGTGGGTCCCACGCTGCAATGCTCTCCCCGCTCCTCGCCAAGTTCCTCCAATCTGCACGCACCCGGGGCGCAGGAGAGGGGCCGCGGGGGCCGCCGAGCCCGGGCCCCTCCCTGAGCGGCGGTCCCGGCCCCTCTGCCTGCCCTTCCCCGCAGTTTACCATGAGCGTTTCCATCCTGTCTCCCACATCTTGAGGTTGCAGCAGCGCCGGGCGTGACTTCTGAATCATTGGAGGGGGGATCTGCGAGGGCACGGGGCGCAGCGGGGGCGTCGGTGGGAGCTCCGGCCCGGCCCCGGCGCCTCGGGAGGAGATGACGCGTTCCGAGGCGGGGGCTGTCTACCGGCCGCACCGCTCGGCGTCCGCGCCCGAGGGTCCCGGGCTGCGCGCCTGGCTCCGGGCAGCCACCCGGGAACCACCTGCAGCTTCTCACTTGCGTGGCAGGCACCGCGGCTCCGCTCTCCGGCGCATTCTGCCCAGGCGTCAGGGCTGGAGGCGATGAGGTTCAATGTATCAGGGGTGGGGACGGCTGGAGGAACTAGAAAGAGCCGGTGGGTTTAACTTCCGGGGTCGGAGGCTGGCCTGGAGCAGGTGAGGGCGCGCTCCTTAGCGCCACCTGGGGAAGACTTCGGAACTGCAGGGGTTGGCACTTGAGCGAGGAATTTTGTTTTGGGGGCTGTTCCAGGCTCTGGGGATACCGCAGTGAATAAAGCAGATGCCCTCATGGGGCTTACTACATAGCAGGTCATAACAGGTAACACTACCTGTTGTACCTCCATACCCCCAGGTGCTGTTTGTTCTAAGTGTTTCTCCGTTGTATCTCTTCTTCTTTTTAAAAAATATTATATATATATATTTTATTTATTTCTTACAGAGAGGAAGAGAGAGGGATAGTTAGAAACATCGATGAGAGAGAATCATTGATCAGTTGCCTCTTGCACACCCCCTACTGGGGATGTGCCCTGCAACCACGGTACATGCCCTTGACCATAATTATTTTTTTTTTTTTTTTTTTAAATAAGTTTTTATTGTTCATATTATTACAAATGTTCCTCCCCCCCCCCCCCCCCCGCCCCACCATTGCTCTCCTCCACCAGGTTCCCACCCCACCCTCTGCCCTTTCCCCACTCCCCATTGTCCTCATCCATAGGTGCACAGTTTATGTTCAGTCTCTTCCCACGCCCCCCTCTCCTCTTTTCCCCAAGAATCGTCAGTTCACTCCCCTTCCATACCTCTGATTCTATTATATTCAACAGTTACTATTGTTCGTCAGATTTTTTTTTTAATTTCCTTGGTTTTTAGATTCACTTGTTGATAGTTACGTATTTGTTGTTCATAATTTTTATCTTTGTTTACTTTCTCTTCTGAAAGAACTCCCTTCAGCAACTCATATAAGTCTGGTTTGGTGTTGATGAACTCCTTTAGCTGTTTTTTATTAGTGAAGCTCTTTATCTGACCTTCGATTCTGAGTGATAGCTTTGCTGGATAGATTATCTTTGGCTGTAGGTTCTTACTATTCATCACCTTGAATATTTCTTGCCATTCCCTTCTGGCCTGCATGGTTTCTGTTGAGAAGTCAGCTGATAATCGTATAGGTGATCCTTTATAGGTAACTACCTTCTTTGCTCTTGCTTCTTTTAATATTCTCTCTTTGTCTTTTGCTCTTGGAATTTTAATTATGATTTGTCTTGGTGTGGTCTTCTTTGGATTCCTTTTGTTTGGAGTTCTGTGCGCTTCCTGGACTTGTAAGTCTAATTCTTTCACCAGGTGGGGGAAGTTTTCTGTCACTATTTCTTTCAGTATGTTTTCGATATCTTGCTCTCTCTCATCTTCTGGGACCCCCATAATTCTGATGTTCGTTCGCTTGAAGTTGTCCCAGAGGTTTCTTACATTATCTTCAATTTTCTGGATTCTCTTGCCTTCTAGCTTCTGTGGAGGAGTGTCTTCTGGCTCTGTATGTTCCAAATCTTTGACTTGATTCTTGCGATCTTCCCTTCTGTTTTTAGGACTCTGTAAAATATTTTTTATTTCAGACAATGTATTCTTTATTTCTTGTTGTTCCCTTATCATTTCTTGATGACTCCTTATTAATTCTAGTTGATTTCTTTTCATATCCTCATAGGTCTTATCCATCTTTTCTAGGAAATTCTTGAAAAACCTTATAAGCGTAGATTTGAACTCTATATCCAGCCGCTTTTTGTCCTCCATTTCTTTCGTTTGTGATCTATTTCGTTGTCGCATTTCGCAGCTACAGATGGGGCGGGGTTTCAGGGTGGAGCCTGCAGCTTTGGCTTCCGTCAGCCCCGCCCTATGCGGGTCCTTCAGTGCTCGCTGCCGGCGCCTCTGAGAGAAAGGCGCCCTCGATCGCCTGCTGCCAGACAGTCAATGCTCTCCCCAATGAGCCCGGTATTGGGGTTCAGTTCAGTTGGAAGTGGAGTTGGAGGTGGCGTTCAGAGCAGTCTGGAGCCCCTGTCTCCTTCTCACCAGGAAATCCCGCGGCACAGCTGGCCGTCCCTTCTCTGCGCACAATGTGTGCACCGCCGGGACCTCCTTTCGCAGCTTCCCCGGGTTCCGCCTCGCAGCCCAGCTCCCTCTGGCTGAGCCTGAGTCCCCGGGGTCTGGCCTAGGGTTGGGTTCAGAGCAGTCTGGGGCCCAGCACAGTCAGAGTTTTATCTCCTTCCCGCTTGGGAAGGCCCGCCAGGCACTCCGCCTCCCTCCTCTCCAGCTCCGTCCTCTCCGCGCGCCGCGTGTCTCCGTACCTTCGGCTTTTCCAGCTCCTCCGCGCTTCCTTCTGGTTTTCTCTTGCTTCTCGTTGTAGAATTTCCAGTCAGTCAACTTTCCTGTAGTTCTGGGTAATGTCCGTTTTATATTTTAGTTGTATTTTATTGAAATTGTTGTGTGAGGCTGCAGCTAGGTATTCACGTGGGCGCAGCCATCTTGGAGGAGGATCGCCCTTGACCATAATTAAATCTGGGACCTTTCAGTCCTCAGGCTGAAGCTCTACCCACTGAGGCAAACCGGTTTCGGCTGTATCTCTTCTGATGCTTTCATACTTGGGTTATCGCCTTATATAGTTCAAATTCAAATTTTACCAACTGTACCCAAATGGTCATTCACAGCACTTCCCCCGGATTTAGAATCCAATGTAGGGTTATATACTGGTTAGTGGTCATGTCTCTTCAGTCTCCTTCAATCTGGAATAGTTCTTCAGCCTTCCCTAAACATGTGACACATACAGAGCTAAGCTCCAGTTCTTCTATCCTACTGCAGGAGACTCTTGTCACCGTCAGCTACTGAATGGCAGGTAGGTGGCATCAGAACACAGTTTTGTGACCCTGTATGATCCTCTCACATACATCAAAGATATGTATTTTACATATAAGGAAATTAACTGAAGCATTTAAAATAAGTTGCCTAAAATTCCACAGCTAAAAAAAAAACCCAAAACACAAAACAGTAACAAAATAAAATTTGCCTTTATTAATTTTACTCTCCTTTGGATCCCTGCTATACTAGCCCAGTCATTTTACCCCGAAACTCCAGTCACTCAAAACAAAATACTATTATTTTTGTCTGCAAAAAACATTGAAATCAGAAATTTATTACTGCACTTGAAAGTGTTCTTGAGAAATGGTTTTCTACATAAAACTTCAATAAATTCCCACTAATACAAATTTAATGTGAAATATATCTTGTGTCCATAACCAAATTTCTAAATCTAAAAAGATAGTCATACTCCGGTATATAAGCCATTTTTGTCTTTTGGAAGAGGAGTGACCCACTTCGAGGCACCGTCCTCACAAGATGTAGTCTGTGCCGGAGGAACGGGAGGAGTGCTGATAGAAGGAGGATGGTTTCTCCCCCTTCTCCTTGGCGATTGACCTTCCCAAGAAGAGGAAGATGTGGTTGCAACTTGTCTGAAATATTTCTGAGAGGTGTTTCTTGAACTTCTCACCCACGAAAGCATAAATAATAGGGTTCACACAGCAGTGAGTGAAGGAAATGATTTCTGTGACATGGGTGGCATAAATCAGCTGCTGGCTCATGGCACATCCGTCCAAGATGTGCAGGTCGTGCAGGGAAGTGAGGAAGAGGACCACATTGAAGGGGACCCAGAAGACTAAAGATGCAATCACCACGATGAGTACCAACTGGATGGCCTTGGTCTTGTTCTGGTTCTGGCAACCCTTCAGCTGGAGCAGGATGCTCGTGTAGCAAAATATCAGGACGGTGAATGGGATCAGCAGGCCTAAGATGTTTATTTCAAAGTGGGTGAAGAGCTTCCACTTTAAAGTCTGGTGATTGTAAGAAAAATAACACTGGAGGATGCCATCGTCAGAGGTCACTTGGTAAAATACCAGCAATGGGCTGGTGGCCATGACGGCGATCAGCCATACTGCCAGGCTCAGGGCTGCCCCCATTCTGGCTGTCCTCACATGCATGGCGTACACAGCATGGACAATTGCCAGGTACCTGTCCACGCTCATGAGGGTGATAAAGAACATGCTGCTAAAGAAGCCAACGTAATAAGAGCCAGAGACTACCTTGCACATGACCGCCCCAAACGCCCACTGGGAGAGCTGATAGTGAGTCTGAAAGGGGAAGGAGAAGACGAAAAGCAGGTCAGACAGGGCCAGGTTCAGGAGGTATATGTCTGTGATGCTCTTCAGCTTCTTGCAGAGGACAAGGACCAGGATGACCACGCTGTTTCCCAGGAGACCGAATACAAACAGGAGGCAGTAAAAGATGGCAAGAAGCCACTTGCTTTCTCTCTGGATAACTTCCCCATCACAGGGGCTCGAGAGGATATCAGGGTAGTAGTAGTCACTTGTTGTCAGGTTGGGCTCATGTGTATAATCCATCAAGGCAGGAGGGCCTGGTGACGGAGTTACCTAAGAGATAGTCAACTTTAAAAATATTTTCATTCAAAAGTACAGACTGAATGCGCCCCCAACTCCCAACTCGTATATTGAAGTCTTAAAGCCCTATTTCAGACTAAATGTTCTCCCTCCTCTCCCAAGATTTCAAAATGAATCATAGCTCAGTTTCACACATATCTGATTTAGATGATATCTAGATGAAGCTTTTTTTTTTTTTTTAAAGAAAATGTATTTTTTTAAATTAATTTTTTTTACAGAGAGAGGAAGGGAGAGGTTATAGAGAGCTGGAAACATCGATCAGCTGCCTCTTGCATAACCTCAACTGGGGATGTGCCCTTGACCGCAATCGAA